ACGTCTCTTTATTTATATCTGCATTTTTCTATCTCTCTCTCACTTTCCTAAGAGGTGTTCTCTTAAGAGGTGCTCTGTGAATGTTAACTGCATTCTCCCCTCCTGTATTCACTGATTTGTTAATTAAGTTAACACATATTTATTGTGTTTATTTCATGTCAGTGTTGTGCTAGTTTCCATAGATAATGAAAATGTAAGTGAGATCCAGAAGCTGTCCATAGGCACAGAGACCTGGACATAGAGACAACATGGTTCTAGGCATTATGTGGTTCCAGGAAATTGTCAGTGGCTGCTGGACTTGGAGTTGATGATGTGACGTGACCTGCGATTGAACCCTGTCATTCACTTTGCTCATGAGCATTGGAGAAACTCATTGCAAGGACGGGAGTTATGTTTCTGTTCAGTAAGGATACTGGGTTCTTTTCAAACAGGTCCATATTACCATTTTGAAATCCCTCCGAGAATTTACAAGTATTCCATGTTTGTTATCCCCCTGGATAGTCCACTCCGCTCCTTCCTCCTTTTCTGTTCCCATCTTTCTTCCTTTTGTCCTGCTGCTCCCCCTGCTTCCCTCTCTTATTCAATGATCAAAAATTTATGTAGCACCTCCTCATTGCCAGGTAACACCCTGAGTATTGGAGATAGAGCAGTTAGCAAAAGAAAGGACCTGTTGTCTTGGAGATTAAAATACTGTGCTGATTGACAACAGATGAGAACACAAATCTGTAATATGAGTTGCAAAAGTGTTAGAAATAAAAAGTAAAGGGACAGTGAGTGACTGGGGCGAAGGGGTGTGTATTCTGCTGGTTTATAACAAAGACGGCCTCTTTGATGATGTGATATTTGAACAGAGACCCAGACTTAGTAAGGGAATGAGCCATTCATTTATTTGGGAGAGGAGAATTCTAGAAAAATGCAACAACAAAGGCAAAGACCCTGAGGAGAGGATGACAGAGACCTGGGTAAGAACCAGGGTGACTGGAGTGGAGTGGGCAGAGCAGAATCTGGAAGGAGAGGACTCAGAGAAAGGTGAGGGTACCATATGGAGCAAATCAGGAAGGCTTGAGGAAAGGCCTGTGGTATAACTTTGTATTTTATTGGCAGTACGTTTGGGAGGATTTTGAATGAAGATGTGGCATGATCTGCTTCTCTATCAGGATGATAGAGAAGAAAAATAGGGCAGTTATGGGTCAGGGACCCACTAGGAGGCTATCGCAGTAGTGTTGGTGAGGGGAAATGGGCTTGCGTTCTTTGATCTTGCATATGATACAAAACACAGCCAAGATATGCTGGTACATTGCACGGAGTGTAAGAGGAAGGGTTAAGCTGCAGGGTGATCCAGGGTTTATGGGCTGACTCACAGAACGGAGCTGCTGGTTATGGAAGGAGGAGGGATAGATCAAAAGAGGGGATCAAGATTTCAGAATGAGATGTTATAGGTTGGACATCAAGGAGTAGATGGACTAAGAGAGGTTTGGCCTAAAGATAAAGTTTAAGGTGTCAGTTTACCACATAGACAGCAATAAAAACTATAAAATAAGTTGAAATTTAAAAAAGATGCAATCACACGACAGCAAAGGGAGATAAAGAGAAGAGGTTCAAGGCAGAGACTGGGGCATTACAGACACAAAAATCTCAAGTTTAAGAGGAACCAGTAAAGAAGACAGATGATTGTTGGGAGAGCATTCTTTGAAGGATCACTATCTTTCATGCTTGATCTCCAGTGACTTCAAGTCTGTTGTTCCATATGTTTTGTTGTTTAAGTGGGATTTTGAACTGGATCATCTTCACTCATCTTTAAAATTAAACAAGTCGTGCTTAGTATTTAAAGTGCCTTTCTTCCAGAAAGAGTAAAATTCATTGCCACTTTTGAAAATCTAGACTTCTCTGTCCTTCAGTTGGAGTGCACCAATATTTAATGTAATTTTCAGTGTGGTCTGGTTGGGGTTTACCCAGGCAGGCTGCCTTATGTCTGTACGCTCTGTGTTTTGATCCTTTGTATCTCCATCCCCGCCTTATATTGAATTACTTTAATATTTCAGGAACACATTTTAGTTAGCCACATCACTTTGCATTACTTTTTAGGAATTGTTTTAGGCTTTGAAATATACTCTAAACATTACAGTGTACTTTATTGTAAGCCACATAAAAAGTTTAGAGTTTTTCTTTAAAGTATGTTTATAGAAAATTAAGAGTCAAAATTGATTCTATGTTTCACCATGTACAAAAGTAAACTCAAAACAGCTTAAAAGCTAAAACTATGAAATTATTAGAAGAAAACAGGGGAAATGCTTCAGGCCATCAAGTGGGCAAGGACAAGGGTGTTTTGGAGGAGATACTAAAACACAGAACAAAAACAAAAACAAAAACAAAAACAGATAAAGGTTGGCGTTAAACATCATGCTGAAAAGAAGAAACTAAGTTTCTTCTTAGTGTAGGAAATAATTTAAAATTAAAACCACAATGAGATGTTCTCCCACTGCAGTGAGCATGGCTACTATCACAAAGCCGGAAGTTAAAAAGGCTGACTGAGGATGTGGAGAAAGAGTTGCCTTGCACACTGTCGTTGAATTTAAACCGGTTGTAGCCATTATGGAAAACAGTACAGAGATTCAGAACAAAAATTTAAAATAAAATTTTCCTAGGACCTAGCTATCATATGATCATACTTCTGGATATACATCACCAAAAGAAATGAAACCAATATGTTGAACAGACATCTGTACTCTTGTGTTTATTGTAGAATTATTCACAGTAGCTAAGAAATGGAAATAACTTAAATGCTCATCAAGCGATGATAAAGGAAATGCAGCCAGTGTATACAGTGGAATAAAACAAAGCTGTAATAATGACAAAATCCTATGTGACAACATAGGTGGGTCTGGTAAACATTGTGTTAAGCTACATAGACCAGGCTCAGAATGTCCAGGCGTGTGTTAACCGACCTCACTCATATGTGAAATCTGAGATTGTTGATCTCCTAGAAATAGAAAGTAGAACGGAAGTGGGGAGGAGGAGTGGGGACAGGTGTGGGCCAATGGGTACTCAGTTATAGTACAGATTGGAAAAATAAGTCCAGGGTTGGATAGCACAGGTGCATGGCTATAGATGATGCTAGTGTATTGTGTTTCAGTAAAGTCCAAGAAAGGATTTTGCATGTCTTCATCACGAATAAATAACAAATGTTTGGGAAGACAGGTATGTTTAACACTTTTTAAAATTACACAAAGTCCACGTGCACTGAGACATTACATGTCTGCCATAAATATGCAGTTAAAAATGTCCAATTGTCTCCACCTTCATTGCTTTTGGACAGGATGTCAGTAGTCATTTGAAACATTGCTTACACACATGCAATGTACAATGCTTTATTCCAGTGACACTTTGAAAAGATGTCTGTAAATCCTTTCCTCCTCCTAAGAGGTGGTACTGCAGTCTCCTCCCTTTGAATGTGGGTCACATTTAGAGTTTGATACCAAGGAACGGAGCACAAGGGGAGTGATGGTATGTGACTTCCAGGCTAGTTTATGAAAAGGTGGCTCAGAGCTGGGGTGTCATGCAGCTGTAGAGGGCTTGCTTAGTATGTGCAAGGCCCTGAGTTCAATTTCCAGCATTGCGAACACCAAAAGGAGCTTGCATCTGCTTCTCTTTATTCCTGTCTTTTGTCCCGGGAGGCACTGACTGACAGGCATATGAGTGATTCATCTTGTAAGTAATCCCAAAGCTACATCTGGTTTCAGGTGACAGCAATCTTGGCTGACATTTGATTATAATGTCATGACAGCTCTGGGCCATCACCTAAGCTGCTCCTAAATTGCAGGTAATGTGAGGGATAAGAAGTGTTTATTATTATTTTTTTTAAAAAACCAATAGATTTTTGGAATAATTTGTTATGCAGCAATGGATAACTAATACACTGCCTACCACAAATGTTGGTGTGTGTTACCTTCCCTCCAATTCTCTAATATTCACTTCACTTTTTCTGTGCAAAACAAAAACATGTCATAAAATTCAAGGAGCACCCCAGCTGAGAAATACATTGAAAGGAGGCAAGTATTTATTTATGATTAAACTAGTCTCTTCTAAAGCAGTATTTTGTCTCTTTTGTTTGCTTTATAGCCAGAGGAACACGTATAATACGTGGTGTAGCAAACAAATATTGTTGAATGAATGAATGAACAAATTTGTTTCTGTGGCTTTCTGGGATAGGCATAAGAATGCCTATTTATCTTTGTCTTCCTCGCAGAGTACACTGCCATTTATTGTTTATGGGAAATAAATTGAACTTCACAGAAATTCTTGTCCAAGTAAATGATCTGGAAATAGAAGTGAAAAGTCAGGGCAGAAAATTCCTCTTAAACATTTATATTGTTCATTGACTAGTGCTGATTTTCAAGCCCCATCAACCTATCACCAACAAACAAACCTTCCCAATCCTAAACGTATACTCTGCTGATGAGAGGTAGACCATATGGATTTCCTAATTTCTACCAACAGAGCGTGTCTTCAAACGTTTCTGGAGAATCAGTAAGTGATCTACCGTGAGAAGTGTTTATTGCACTTGGGTTGAGAGCCAAGTGGAAGTCAGTCCCTAGACTCAAATTTTTGGTGCAGACAATACAGCACTTACACATCAAGACATCTTGACAAGGCATTGTTTTTTGTTTTTTTCTTCTGCAGAAAGATGCAAGTGTGAGGCAGCAGTGGTGCAGGACAGGGAGTGGCCACTTCTCTCCCTAACAAGCAGCTGACCTCTAAATTCACTGGCTGAATGCCAAGGTTTCCAGTCTGTCCTAGTTGATTAACTCGAGTTGGTGGAGGCAGTTGGCCTTGGAAAATTATCAAGAGGGGACAGGCAGGTTGGAACGCTGAGTCCTAGGTTCTTATCTTGGAAACAGGCAGTGTTTTGGGAAAAGGTACACAGTCATCATTTCTTGGAGCTCACTGCAGTGACAGGGAAAAGGGAGAGGATTTAAATGGCCTGGTCATTTAAGTCCAACATGGAGTTTTGTCTGTGCGCTTTCACAGAAAAGCCAAAGCCTACATCTCTCAAGGTGTTGAATTGGGTGAATCCTATACAGAGGTCTGACAGCCCGTTTCCTTCTGGTCCAGTGGAAGCTGAGTCTCACCGGCACAGTGAGTCTGAGCGCTCTTACGTGTGCGTGCAACAATTCTGCCCCTCTTGGAGAGGCTGACGTCTTCAGGCTGTCTGCGGACGGTTTGGCGCACAGGTCAGGCTTCCTAGGCAAGAACCATTCATCAGCTTTGTGACATTTGGTGTGCATTTTGCCTTAGTTACAGAAAGCTAACTGCAGGTCAGATGTGTTGATACACGGAAACCGCCTGGTCGACAGTGAACACTAATGAAAATCAGTTCTTACTGCCTTCTGTGCTTGCCACGGACCCTGCAAAGCTGCAGGAGAATCGATGAATGAATTATTCGAAGGAGTAGCTCCGATGATAACGTCAACACGTGAAAGTCCCTACTTTTTTTAACTTTTCAGTCTATGGTCGCAGAACAGTTTTAAAAACTATTGTTGTATTAGTGTCATTCATTTTTCAAAAAGTATTGTTCCCTGTGGTATTTTCATCCATGGACATAACATGTTTTGGTATTTATTCATTCGTGTTTAGAAATTCTCTTAGATCAAGTTGACTACATCAAGAAAAGACACCTGAGTGCACGGTGACTCTGAACTGAAGATTATGAAATCGTGGGTTAGGGACGCTGGGATTTGTCACTGTAGCCCTTCGTAAACGTGGCCATGGTAGCAAAGCGCCCAATACAGAGGAGCGTGAGTCTGGGGTAGGAGTCATGAGTTGGTGAGGAAAACTCCTTCCAACTCTCGAAAGGGGCAAAGCTGGCCTCCCTGGCCGTGGGCGGCGCTGGTGGAGGCACTGGGTCAGTACCCTTCGCGTCCCCAGGCCTGGCACGGCGCCTGGCAGACAGCACAGAGCCCGAGATTGTTCTGCAGGAGTCGTCAGGGCAACTGGGAACCCTTCATGGTCAAACTTTGCACTGGTGGTGCCTCCACTGCCACCCGCACCGGCACCTGCCGCTCAGTCTCCGCCTCCTCCTGCAACGCCACACGCAGAAGAGCAACAAAAAGTGGCCCAGTGGATGGACCCACTGTCCAAACCGCCTCCTCCAGAGCGCGGGGCCGGGCCGGGAGGAGCCGGTGACCCGACCCTGACCCACTCGGCTGTCCCGCCCCTGCGCCCCGGGCCTCGCCCTCGGCCTGGGGGCTGCGCCCGGGTCCCAGCGGAGCGCCAGAAGCCACCGCCGTCGCCGGCAGGCATGGGGCGCTGGGACCGCGTCTCCCGCGTCTCCCGCGGGGTCCCAGGCGGAGCCGGGCTTTGGTGCACGGCGCCGCGGGCCGCGCCGGGCGTCTCCAGGGACAGCGGCGGTCCCCGCGTCCCCGAGGTGGCCCGGGCCGCCCGCCGGCTGCTGCGGGACCTGGGGCGGCGGCTGGCGCGCGCGTGGCGGCGGGCGGTGCGGTGCGCGGGCTCGGGGCGCGCGCGCCAGGAGCGGAGCTGGGCGCGCATGGACGGCGCGCTGGGGCGGCTGCGCGCGGAGACGGTGAGCGCGCGGGGAGCGGGGGGGGGGGTGTCTCACCCCGTCCTCGGTGCAGTCCTCACCTGGGTCGGCATTGGCCCCCCGGAGGGGAGCGCTGGCCCCGGTCCCTGCGGCCGCTGGCCTTCCCGTCCCAGGCTGGCGCCCTCCGCGGAGGGGACGCCCTCGCCACCCCGGGGACAGCTGGCAGGGAAGGGGCGCCTGGGGAAGGGTTAGCCGAGCAGAGACGACCCCAGGCGGAGCAGTGCGTCCCTTACCTGCTGATGATTTCTAAGGTCTAAAGAGGAGGGAGTGGGCGGTGGCGCAGACCAAGCAGGAGTTCAGCTTCATCGCGAAGCCGGGCTACGTAGTGAGTTCAAGGCCAGCCAGCGCTGCGCCGCCAGACCCTGTCTCAGAAAAGAAGTAAACCACGGATCACGACGTGGTATGCATATGTACCAATCCTCCACGATGAAGATTTTTATTACGTATCACATATAATCATGAAAAAGTTCTTTTAAAAAGTTCCTTATAGGAAACTCTTAGTACCTTTTTGCATGAAGTGTGAGGTGAGAGATTTCAATAATGAAAAGTCCATCAGCATTTCTTTCTCTGCATCTTGCAAATTATTAATTTTTTCCCCTAGTGAGAATTTAATACAGTATTATGTAAAATTGTTGCTTTTGAACGTTAGGCAGGTTAGGACCTAATGACAGAGAGGGACACATACACAGATATTTTAGATGAGTTTTTAAATGAAAGAATTTTAAATCAGGCTCAGTTTGAAAAGAACAAAATGAACAGTAGCGATTCAGGCTTTAAAATGTTGCCGACATGTTGCTTCCTATGAATAGGTGGAAGGGAAACTGGATTTGGAAAATTCTCGCTGGCACTAGATGCTAATTAAATTAACCAGTATGTTAGAACAGATGCGGCCATCAGTGAAATGCCTGATTTAGAACCTTCGCAGGGTACCTGCTTTTTTTCTGGGTTTGAGCAGGGCAAAGCTAATTTTATCCACATTCAGTTTTTGAACCGACAAGGGTGCATTGCATCTGATCCACCAGATTGAAGTAACATCTGGTTTTCATCCAGGTCTACACAGTGAGCTCGCGAAGCAGGTGGACACTGGAGCCACCTGATTAGACATCTGGACGCGGGTGCTGGGCCAGGGCACCGAGCAAGAGCTGAGGCCGGGCTGGGCCATGGCTCTGTGAATCTAACCTGGAAGCTAACCATGGCCCCTGCTGTGCCTCGCCGGGCTCCTATTTACATTCCGTGAAGACGTGGCCCTAAATGAGTTCTGTAGCTTAAACAGCGTTCTAACGAGCTGTGCTACCAGGAGGAGTTTTTAAACAAGTGTTGTATTGAGGGTGGGGAGATGGTGAGGTATGGAATTCCAGCAGGTGAGGGTTAAGATGCCAATGCTACAGCTTTCGCTTGTCAGCCCTACGATTTTGAGAATGTTAAGTCGTAAGTTTGACTTTGTTTATTCATCTGTACAGTGGGGATAAAAGTCTCATAGGATTGTTGGAAGGATTATTATCAGAATCACATGAAGCGCCTAAGCCGTAAGCAGTATTTATTGGCGCTCTCTCTCTGTCTCTCTCTCTCTCAACAAAATACATGAGGACACTTCAAAATGCGTCATTCCTGGATAGGATAAGAAATGTATTGGTCATAAATAAAACTGGTTATAGATGTCACCCAATATTTGAGATTTTTAAAATAATGAAACACACCACAAAAAAGTTACCAAGTTAACAGACCAGCATCAGACCAGAGTAAAATATCTGTAGCATTTATACATGCAAAGATAATATTCACACTTTAAGTATACACACTTTAAGTATGTAAAGTATCCATATTATATAGAGTATCTAAAAATCAGTTAAAGTAAAACCATCTAGATACAAAATGGGCTAAGGGTAAAACAGATGATTTTGAGAAGAAATAAAATTAACCTAGGATTAAAATGGGAGAAAAAAACTAAACTTTAGTTATCAGGGAAATTCTAAGGGTTTGGAAGATCATTTTTATTTTTTTCGTTATTTTTTGTTGATGCATTTTAGATATCTCTACAATGATCACACATTGTAGGGAATCCGTTTCTGTACATAATACATCTTGATTCTTCTTTTTCCCCCATTCCTCTCCCTTCCTTCAAGCCCTCTTTTCCCCCTTTACAAAAGCTTTGTTGCTTTTTCCTTTTATACTTTTTCTCCTGTCCCTTTTTTCCTTTTCCCTGCCCTTGTTCTCCTCATTTGAGCACTTTCTTTCTGTTTCCCAGTACTCTTTATGCACGCATAGCCAATTTCTTTCACACAACAGTACGGTCTCAAGATGCATTCATTTAGCTAGAAATTCTCAAGATTATCCTTTTTTATGGTGGAGTAGCACTTGACCGTATAAAATAATCTATATCCATCCATCCAGTGAAAGCATTTGTGCTGTTTCCAAGATTTAGCTATTACAAATGGTGGTGTTATAAACATGGGTGCACATATATTCCTGTGGTGTGATGCTTTTTATTCTTTGGGAAGATACCAAGAAGGGGAATAGCTGGGTCAAATGAGACGTCTCATCTTGGTTTTTTGAGGACTCTCCACACTGATTTCCACAGTGGTTGTACCAGTCTGTTGTTCCCCCAACAGGGAAGAAAGCTTCCTTTTCCTCCAAAATGCCATCATCCCTTGCTATTGGTTGATTTCTTGATAATAACCATTCTTACCCATCTCTTAAGTGACCAGTGATGTTGAACATTTTTTCGTAATTTTTTTTGCCACTTATACTTCTATATCTGAGAAGTACCTGTTCATTTGAGATGCTCATTTTTGAACCAGTTCTTTAAATTTGATGGGTCTGATTTTTTTCAAGTTTTTATATATTCTAGATATTAACCCCTTGTCTCAGGAAAACTGCTCCCCAAATTTTTCCCCACACTGTGAGTTGATTTTTCACTTTGTTGATTGTTTCTTTTGCTGTGCAAAAGATTTTTTAATGAGACCCCAGTTGTTGATTCCTTGTATTATTTCTCGTGTGGTCAGAGTTTTGTTCATAAAGTCTTTGCCTACCGAAATGTCTTTAAGAGTTCTATTTATTTTAACTTTCAGAAGACTTAGTGTTTCTGTTTTAATATTTAGATTTTTGATCCATTTTTATTTTAGTTTAGTGCATGATGATAGATATGAGTGAAACATGCTGTTGGGTATTTTGATTGGGATTGCATTAAATCTGTATAATAGTTTTGGAAGTATGGCCATTTTTACTATATTGGTTCTTCCTATCCAAGAGCAAAGGATATCTTTCCATTTTCTGATATCCTCTTTGATCTTCTTTTTTAAAAGAGAACTCTAGTTTTCTATATAAAGGTCTTTTACTTTCTTTGTAAAATTGATTCCTAGGTATTTTGTTTTTGGATGCTGTTGTGAAAGGTGTTGTTTTTCTAAGTTCTCTCTCTGTGAGTTTATTTTTCCTGTATAAGAATGATAGAGTTTTCAATGTTGTTTTTATATCCAGTTTTGCTATTGAATTTGGTTATTAAATCTAGAAGATATTTGGTGGAATTTTTGGGTCTTCTATGTAGAGCATCATGTCATCTGCAAATAATGGTAATTTAACTTCTTCCTTTCTTATTTTTATTCCTTTTATTTCTTTCTCTTGTCTAATTGTTCTGGCTATTGTTTCCAGAATTATATTAACTAAGAGTGGAGATAGAAGAGATCCTTGCCATTTTCCTGGTTTTAGAGTGAAAGCTTTCATTTTTGTCTATTTAGTGTGATGTTGTGTTGGTATGTCATAGATGGCTCTTATCAGATTGAGATGAAGATTGTCTCTCACAATTTCAATTTCTGTAGTTTTTTTTTTTTTAAATCACGAATGGGTGTTGGTGGGGCAGGGCTTGATACTTCTTGTTTGCCAGTCTGTGTGCCAGAAAGGGCTGGGGTCATGTGTTCTAGTCCTGTGGTGGCCCACACATGGTGCTGGTTCTAAGACTGGGTTGTGCTTTGTTCTTTCTCCTCTAGCCCATGAATGGCGCTGACTATAGGGAGAGTCTGGGGTCTGTCTGTGCTAGTCTGGTATTCTGTATCAATTTTGGAAGACAGATTTATGGGATGCATCAATTTGGACTGGATATTGTTTCTTTTAGGACCTGAAATACTTCCCTTGACGTTCTCCTTGACTTGAGGGTCTGTGTTGAGAAGTCTGCTGTGATTCTGATGGGCTTTCCTTTATAGGTATTTTTTTTCTCTAACAATGTTTTTAATGTTCTGTTCTTGTGTTGAATTTTTGGAATCTTAACTCTTACATGCCCTCAATGTAGATTGTTTTTAAATCATGGCTAATTGGAGTTCTATGCCTCAATTATCTGTACGTCAAATTATTTTTCTATGCTTGGGAAGTTTTCTGCCACTATTTCTGTAAACAGTTTTTTATGTCATAGTGCTTTTTCATCGACTCCAAGCAATCTTTTGTTATTCTTCCTTTGCATTATCTATCTGCTATTGGATTGATTTTTCGTGATCCCTTGCTGTTTTAAAAAAAATCTTTGTATCTCTAATTGCTAACAGCAATCCTGTCCTCTATATCTAATATTCTGTCTTCACATAGCCTCGTTCTGCTGCATATACTTTCAATGGAATTTTTAATCTCCTAGATATCTGTCTGAATCTGTCATGGATACTGTTTTTTTTTCCTATGTTGGGTGTTCATGGTTTTCCATAATCTTCTAAGCGCCTCTATTTTGTTTTATCTGTATCTGCTCTAGAGTAAGCAGCCATGTCTTTCACGATGGCCACCAGCCCTGTAGTTATCTGAGGGATTACTTATTATTTGATTATTTTCTAGAGGCTCATTCATCTACTTGTTACTTCTGCTGTTACCACTTTAGAGAGTTCAGGTGAGTGGATTTTGGATTGTCCCACCTCGTTGCTTCCTGCATTTGCTTTTGGTGAACTGGAAGTCTGGGATTGCCTCTTGCTTAAGTATCTTTTCATTTTCTGTTTTTTTAAAGTTTAATTCCTGGGTCAATACTTCTAACTTGCTTACAGCATGTAGCTTTATTGCAAGTACATAGAACCCTTAGGAAATGACTACTTCTAAGATATATCTTCTGGGTGTAGCTGACTTTTGGGTTTTGAGTCTGTTGCAAGATCCTCTGTCTTCGACTCATTGGGGTTGAGGAGTTGCACTGTATTTGGCTTAGCCCCTGGTTCCTTGGCACTGGTCTGTATTACTGGTGTGACTCTTACACAATCTCATCCTTGGCATACTGGGAAGAACAACTGATTAAAACAGTTATGTGACGTTGGCTAAAGTATCACAATCATCGATAAGAACAGCATCAGACACAGCCCAGAAAATGACAAACTGTGATTACTGTTAGTTGGCCGCCTTTAACTACAAGAACTGTATTTGTGATTAAATAACAAAATCTAAACCAAACTAGAAAATTGTACATAGTGCATATTCCTTCAATATGGCAATTTTACACTCAAGGGAGAATATTTAAATGGGTTAGGGAAGAAAAACACAGAGAAATAGAAGAGAAGGAAGAGATTAGGAAAGTGGCTTGGGAACAAAGGAAGATTAGTTGAACTTTGCAAAATTAGTTTAAGAAGACATGAAGGAAAGAGAGAAGGAAGAAATAAAAACAATAACCCAAGAGGACAAGAACAACGAAAGCACAGAAACAATGTTCACACTCAGATAAAAACTGGAACAGATAATCAAGAAAAAAAAAAAAAAAGAAAAACACAAACAAGAAACAAGAAAAGAAAAAACTTAAAGGTCGACTGCAGAGCATGTCTGTGCCGTCATTGGTTGACAGACTGGGCTGCAGAACTCAGACCATGTTTATTAGTCCCAGCAAGCCAGCCAGAGATTCATGCAGGGTAGGGGATCACCCCAGCAAGCCTGCATCTTTTAGTTTCATTCAAGCACAGGCTGATTTCTGGCTGTGAGTTGTTCACCTTGTAGCATTCTGTGTGCCTCTGGCTTGAGCTAGGCTTTTTGATCTCCTGCTGACTTGAACATGGCTCCACTTTACCCCTGACACTGTGAACTGCTAGACTGAGTCAGCCCACAGCTGCTATGAGTTCTGCTGATCTCTCTGCAGGATGACTGCTGGTCCACTGACTTCTCCTGGAGGATAGCTGAATCCAAATAAGTCACCAGCCACTGCAGTCTGCTGTGTCCACTGGTCCATTCCTTGCTGTGTTTCCCTCTGGAGGCTCTGGGGTTACCAGTAGTCACCGTGTGTCTGCAGGTTTGAGCCACTCCTCCCATGCAGAGCCAGAGCTCAGAAAGAGCCATTTGCAACCTCGTTTTTCTCCACTGAGGTCTTTCTCTTACTCTCTCATGGGCTTCAGTTCTGGCTTCAGATCCTTGCTGGGCCCTGGGGCTCACTTCCCTCCTTACCCTCTTTCTCACATTGCTATATCCTAGTGTCTGGACACAGATTCTGGAGAGGCTGTTTCTCTGCTGATCACCACTTTGCCATCTTTCCAGAAGTCTGACTATTGACTTTTATGATTATGGTAACTAATTTTATAGACTTGGAGACAGTTGCCTAATGCACATGTATCAAAAGTCGAGTTTTTTTCGGGAAAGGATTCAGAGACTTTTATGCATACACAGCTGCTGTGTTCCTGGGCTATAACCAACATCTTTGCTAACCATCCAGCTAACATCTTGACCACCCATCCATGTAATGTGAGTGGTCATGAGAAAAAGATAAACACTGGTGTATATTCGGCTTAATGTTATTACCACCAGAATAAGCAAGTTTTGATTATGGGCCATTAGCTAGGTTTTTATAGGAATCAGCCTGCACTGCCACACATAAGTTTATGTGTCATATATTAGGATGGATTTGTATAAGAAATGATGAACAAGCTTAGTTCTTTTGAAGTCATGTTATTTAGAGAATATTGTGTTCTACGTGGTATTCCTAATGGGCCATACTAATTTCTATGATCTGTGAGTGGATTTCCAGGAGTTTTGTATACTGAAAATTACATGTAAAATTTTCTACATATGTAAAATATTTTGAGAGAAAATTTATAGTTTTTATCAGATTCTCAAGGGATTCATGATCAAAGGAAAGTTAAAAAAATCATTGGTGTTTGAATTTTCTATAAATGTGAATTACAGATACTTACTTTACTTGAAGGCTGAACCTTTAGTGATAACTTTATTGTCTAATTCTTGGCAGCATAGTAGAGGATGGACATTCTTCAGTTCATTCATCCATTGCTTTGTGCACTGAACCTCACAACAGACACAGAGGCGCCACCATGCTGTGTACCCAGGCAGTGCTTGCTCAGCTGGGGTACAGTCATGGGCCACAAACGCTGCCCTAGCATCATCACTCCAGTCTAGCCTTTAAGTCAGGACAGGCACGAGTACAGAAGACTCCAGGAGCACAGAGAAAGGGCCATCATGATTAGCCACAGAATTAGAAGATTGCATCAGTGCAAACAGAGTGGTGAAAGGCATCTTCAACAGGGATCAGCAGGAGGTACCGCTCAGTTTAGAGGTTCTCAGAGGCTGGCAAACATGCTTGCCAGTGAAAGCTGGTATGGGAAAGAGTGCAGGAAAAAAAAATGGAAGAGGCAGCTTTACTGAACTTTTAGAGTATGAGAAAATGGGAGCTTCTGGTGGGCCAGGTGCAGGGACTTTCGTGGTGGTGGCTTTTCCTGTGGCTACTGTTATTGTGTATGAGATATCTGTTCGCGCTATCATTTACTAATGCTTGTTTGCAGAGAAATGGTGACGAGAGCTGAAGAAGGAAGATGAACGTCTCAGAGGAAAACTGAGAGCTAACTTTATCCATCAACTTATTTTGAAAATTGGGAGCAACCACCAGTATACTATTTGCTTGTTACTAACACAGTGATCTCTTTCATCCCGAGCTAGTTACTTGTGATGAGTTGATGAAGGATTTTAAGCAAAAAGAGTACACTGCTTAGGAAATGCACTAAATGTGACCCTCATTGCAATTAGTTGGTCCTTAATTTTACGTTACAATACAGAGCTGATGTTGGGTTAAACTTTGTTGGGTGCATCCTAGGTAACCTGCCCTAGAATCTAGTTTTTTTTTTTTTTTTTTTTTTTTTTTTTAGTACCAGGGATCAAATTCATGACCTTATGCTTACTAGGCAGGCACTTATGCTGCTGAGCTAAAACCCCAGCCCTTAGAATTTATTTTTAAAGGAAGTTTAATACATATGAAGACCCTCATGAACTCCCACCGGAGAGGATATAAATCAGCCTTGCTACATAACAGATTTTGTTTTAGAGTGAAGTGTTAGATTATATAAGTATACATAAGTATACATGTCCCTCTGAGGTGTCCTTAAATGCTTTTGCTCAGCAGGCAGACCATTTAAAGCCCTGAAAACTTGAAATGATAAGTAATCAAGTCAACGGGCCCAGCTTCTGTACTCAGGTGGCCCCAGGCAGTTATCCTGTGGCTCAGAAAGCTCATAAAGATAAATGATTCCATTGTGGACTGCAAGGCTTTGCTTGAAAACAGCCTTCAGTGCATAAGTATTTTTCATATGGACAGCTTTGTGCATCAGCTATTTTTGTTTTCACTTCAAGGCCATTTCAAAAGCTATTTATATCTGGACTTTACCTTGTTGCATAGAAAGTCAGTTTTATAGTCAAGTCAAACAGTCACAACTGGAGTGTAAGATGAGAAATACATCTTTTGTGATATCTTATTTTTCTTTCCTGACGACTCCATATTTCTTTTGTATCTCAAACTAATAAAAATTCTTATTCTTTTTCTAATTTTTAGTTGGAAATGCGTTCCCAAAACCATCAGCTGGCCGTAACTTTACTGGATTTAAACATAAAAATGCAGCAGTTGAAACTGGCTCACAGACTGGAAATTGCATCAGAATCTCAAAGCCCAGAAGATAATGCTGTGAATTGGGAGGACGGAAAAGTGGGCTTGGAAATCTGAACCTTAAGAATAACAGTGGTGACTCTGAAACAGTTTTAACAGTGGCAACATGGATGCTTTGCATGGGCTCTAGGGGACCAAAAAAGTGTAACTGACAGAAAAAAAAAAGATTGAAGAGAGGGGAGGGAAAAAACGGTGTGGGATGTTAACGTTTAGAAATATTCATTCATTGTTGGGGGGTGTTTCTCACAAAAAATTAAACAAGAATGCCTTAATGCCAACTTCTAGCATTTCATCTGTGTTAATTTTCTTTTCTTGTTTTGAACTTTCAGAATCTCTGCTTGTTCTTGTTTTACTTGATTACTTATTGTTGATTTGTCCTGTTGCCTAATCAATACTTCCCACTCCTCCTCATCCCGTGTCCTTTTGGAGAATTACTTCTGGCTGGATTCCGGCCATACCCATTAGACGATGGTTCCTTAGGAGCCCCACTTTCCTGTCTTGTGTGGTCAAGGCAGGCAGATCAGTTGGTCCTCAGGATTCTTCACACCATTGCAAGGCAGTAGATGGCGATCTCTGAAAGCAGAGGCTGTGGGACCCAGAGTGCTTGGAAAGTGGTGAGAAAATCCAGGCTCTAAAAGAAGGGAGCTGAAGGTGAACCACTGAAAACACAAAGGAGAGGGGCAGCAGTGCACCCCTGGGGTCATCTGTGTCTATCCTACGCCTTCCTGTCTTGTAGTAACATGAAACACTCTGGTATCCTTCTCATAATATCTTCTTTTGCCTGCCTTGGTTCAAGTTGGAGTTTCATGACTTGTATCCAAAAGTAATTAATTAATTACTAATTAATTAATTAGTAATTAATACAATTGATTAATACAATTACTACAATTTCTGTGTTCAGTTTCTGGGAGTTAAATCATTCTTCTGTCCAATTAGAAAATCTAAATATACCCTAAAGTGCTGTGTTTTTAATATGAAAAATAAAACAAGTTAAAAATAGTTGCCCATCTCATTGATAGTCATAGTGGATTTCTCTAAACACTATGCCAGTCTGAGTGATTTTAATATTTAAATAAGACAGAATTTGTTCTTGAGAATGAAAGGAGAGAAGTGACATAGTCTTTATTTAAATTAAATGCTAGGGCTGAAGGTGGAGCGCAGTGGGACAGCCTGTGTGGGCTCTGGCTCCGTGCAAAACAATTAACAAAACAAAATGAGACACCAACAGTGAAGAAACAGTCATTAAACAGGTAGGTCATTAAACAAACAAAAGAAAAGAAGAAAGAAAAGAAAAGCAAGTGGTTTATGTGTATAAAGATTTGGGAATTATCCGGACCAAGTGTAGTCTTTACCTTTTTTTCCATGAGAAGTACATTGTCCTAGCCCTTTCCACTGAACTTCCTCCTGGTGTGAGAGTGAAGTATTCCTCTGTTCCGCTCACAGGGCGTTGTCAGAAGAGCCGCAGGCAGCAGCCTGATACAGAGCACGACTCTGCCTAGGAGCTTTTAGTTTTATATATAAACACAGATACTCTTCATTGAACGACCTACCTGTTTAATGACTGTTCAGACTGACAATGCAGGAACTTGAGGTGCAGTGTGGCCCAGTGGCATCTTCTCCGGTACAGTACTGTAAGTTTTGCTGATTGCACTGTGTGGCATACTTCTTTAGTTTTACGTTCTGTTGTGGGAGCCGTTGAAACTGGAAATTGAGCACATGTGCAAGGCTGGGGCCTGGCGGCTCCAAGAACAGAGGGAGTGCCTGAGGCAAGCCACTTCAGAAAAGCTGCCTCAGCCTACAGAACACCTAGCCCCAGGATAATCCAAACAGTGGGTTGCTAGGACAACAGGGTGTCATGTGACATTCAGTTGCTAAAGGGTATAAATAAACGCACCTACAGTGTAAGGGCAGTTCCTTTCCTCCTGTCCGGAGGCTGAGGGTTCTATCTTGACCCTAGTTTTGTCTGTTTATTTTCTAATCCTCTTGCAGTCCTTCACCCAAGAATCCTCAAGGGCTGTGTGCGTCACGACATTCTGTTACATCGCAGTTCTCCGTGTAAGAGTTATGCAAATAAAAACACAGTCATCAGGCTGGAGTTTCCTTTGACAATTTCTTTGATCTGAATATTGCAATGAACATACTATGAACAGTTCCTCATTTGGTGACCAGTGCATTGAACATCCTAATCGCAGGAAAGAAACTTGACCATTAAATGAGGAATGCCCTAATGTCTTGCATTGTGTTTGTGGAATAGATTTCCTAGTTGTTACTTTCTTTGAATTTTATAGAATTTTGAGTGAAGATTGGTGTTGCTCCTTGTTGTGTTAGTCAGATTTTTATTGCTGGGACAAAAATACCCAAGTAAACAAATTTAAAGGCTTGTGGTTTCAGAGGTATCAGTCTACTATGGGCTGTTGTTATTGATTTAGGCAACAGGAGGTGCAGAGAAAAACTGCTCACCACATGGAAAGCAGGAAGAGAGGATGGAGAGAGAGAGAGGAGGAGGAGGGAGAAGGAAGAAGAAGATAAGGAGAGTGAGGAAGAAGAGGAGGAAGAGCAGCAGGAAGAGGAAGAAATAGAAGAGGAGGACAAGGAAGAGAGAGGAGGTCTGACTGGCTGCATCTGGCTGGGAGCCACCTTCTAGTAGCCCTTTTGGCTGTGGACTCCTCAGAAGATCATCTCACAGAGCTCACTGGCTGGTCTTTGCTTTTCCCTGCCCAGTGAAGGCACCCACTGCATTATGACAGTTACCTCTCTAGGCCACATCTGTGAACATCTGCCCTGGCCATCCAGCCTTCCATACACAAGTCTGTGTATGCTTCACATTTCAACCCTAAAGCTTGTGATTTAGTCTTTTCAAAAGCCCCTTAAATATCAGGATGGTCATTCTGAAGAGCATCTTTAAGGTTAGCATTTAAATCGTTGTGATTTTGTGCTTAAAAAATACTCAAAGTGATTTACTGTGTGACAGTTCCTTACAGGATGCAGATTACCGACATCCCTTAATATTCATGTAAGTAATTTGATTATTCTGATAATATAGTACTGGACATGAAAAGGAAAAATAAATTAAAATTGAACTTCTAAAAATACATTCATTGATTGTCACATTTTCAGCCAAGTCTGAAATTATCTTATTGTTAAGTTTTGGTCATTCCTTTGCATTTTTATCTTGCAGTGATAAACTTCAGACCAGCTGTATTTTCTAGGGTTCACAGATGCAGGGACAGAATAAGAAACTCTTTGTTGCAAAAGTGATCTTATAGATGGTAATGGCAACCAGTAGAGTCCACCTGAGACCAGCTGTGCAAATGGAAATACAACATGAAATGGACTCGGGACATCGTTATTATTAAATGTTGTTACCCACTTTCCACTCTGCTATGACACTCCTGGCTTATGCATTTTTTAAGCAGCAGAAGGCAAATGAACGTTTCCCTACTTTTCTTCTAAATGGTGCTCAGTTACTTGTGATCAGCTTGCTGGGTTGTCTGCCATCTTGTCAGCCATGACACATGGGAAGCCAGCAGGGAAAGTTTCTAAGAACTGCAAGGATGTGCCTACAAGGGTTACAGTCCTTCTCTTTTCTTCAGGATTTAAAAATAAGCGAAGGCAATCGTGTGACATTTTAAAGATCTATGAGATGGCAGGGACCAAAACCAGTGCCAGCTGGAGGGGAAAATGAGAAAATAATTATACCTTAAATTATGCATCAGGGAAGTCATCATTGAATGAGCCAAAGAAAGTAAACTGTTTATAACAAGAGTGCTTAGAGGGGGCCACGGGAAGAGACACTAAAAACAGTTTTGTGAGGAAAATATGGTGCTTGGATCTTGCAAATGACACATTTCTCACAGCGTTAATTATGGTGGAATGAAACCGTGTTAGCAGGAAATGGGCTTTCGCTCTCAGGTGCTTGTTTAGCACCTACCCGTGGAGAGATGCCAACTGCCTTATGACAGTTAGGGGCTCTGCACAGGTTGGAGGCCTTGGATGCCTGCACAGGTGGCCTGGATGAATCACATTTTGTCTGATTTGCCAAATACTTCTGCCAGGTGCGGCTGCAGCACCGGCCCAGGGATGTATCAGTGTCTGCCGCGGATAACTGTGGATAGCTGAGCCCACACCAGCGTAATTATGAGAATTCTGTCTCCTCTGTCTCTTCCCGGCAGGATCAAGGGCCTGGTGCAGCCGTGGGCTCTGTTTATTTACTGCTGTAATCACTGCCAAAGCCTTTCGGGCCCTGGAGCTGCACCAGGTGCTTCAATTCTGGCTACTTTCTGTCTTGGTTGTGTTCACTGTCGCTGCTGTGGACACTGCTGCGGTCACGATTATGGTTGTCTCGTTTGCCTTGTTGCCCATGTTATTAATGCAAGTTATGGTGGCCTGAGAACTGTGGTTAGGTCCAGGGTTCAGCCGGGCCGCGCTGCCACCTTTGGATCTGGAAGCCTCTTATTTCACCCAGAAAAAGTACTAGAGAAGAGAACTTGGAGATAGATGTATTTGTCTCACGGTGGCCTGGGCCAGGTGCTGCTCTTGGCTTGATGAACTGGGTCCAAAGCATTTCATTTCTCCTTAGGAACCATAGTGCCACCATCTTGCTCTGCCAGGCCCAGGACGTGCAGTGTATCTACTGTCATGAAACCAGCGATGACAGCAGCTACCCCTCCTGCGTCAGCTACTGTGCCAAGCATACCATTTACATCAGTATATTTCTTCATCATGATGCTCTGTAATAGGACATTTCATGGAGTCATCAGATCTCGATATTTAGCCTGGTTTTGCCAATTACCAGCCATATGCTTTAAATTCTTTGAATCTGTCTAAAAGGAGCTAGTGGAAAGATACCTGCTTTATTTAAGTCTTGAAGAGCCCGAAGTGGAGAGCCCTAAAGTGGGATTTGGAGACTGAGTGGTGAGGAGTCTCCTACTTCTATGAGTCCTTTGTACATACTTCAGTTCTGCACAGCATCTTATATCCTCATGGATACAGCTCCTCCCCATTCCTCTTTTCTACATTGTGCCTCTGTGTGTCTTTCTAATACTTCATCGATGGAGTCCTCTCTGTTGATGATTAAACTGTTTGCAGAGCATGAGAACAGGTGGCCAGTAGATATAACATCAGCAGTCGACGCTCCTTACCAGCTCCTGAATCTGCCTGCCACACAGTCCTACATGCCAATCCACTGACACCTCCTAACAGTGCAGTGTGCTTGGAGTGATCCTTCTTCCTGTTTTAGAAGGGGAAGGGAAGCCCAATCAGAGCTGTTGAGATTCTT